GCAGGGTTGACATTCCTCTTCCTCGGATCTGTTTGAGTTTTGCCATTTTTTTATCTGATGGTAAAGAGAATTCCTCTCCCTCAGCCATCCAGGGAAAGGTCTGATCAGAAGTTTCAGATACATCCTTCATACGGTTACATAACATGGCATTCTTCTCTCCAGTCCTACTGGAGACAGACGCTCTTCAAGTAAACATTCCTGTGACAGACGCTCTTCATGTAAACATTTCACAGTCACGTCATAACAATTATGTTCTTGTGTGACCCAAACTCTAGGGGGCTTCACGGGCAGGAGATATTCATCTACATGTGTCACCTGTGTGTTATGTACCGGGCTGTAAGTTACAATTCTAGAAGAAAAAACTAAACATTGAGCTGCACTGAAGGCCTAATAGACAACGTAAAGGTCCACTATACCCAACAGTGATATTTAAGCTATAGGTGGGGCTAGGGGTTGCCACCTGTCACCCGGACAGTCCGGGTTTTAAATGGTGTGGCAGCTGAAACCTGGACACAAGATGTCAGGCAGACAGGGGCAATCAAATTTAAGATAGGGGCTACTGGCCCCCCACTGAAAATAGTCTCGACTGTGATATTTACATATGAATGGGTGTCGCTATTTACATATGAATAAGCCGCGACTCATTCTCCCCCAAAAATGTCCGTGCGTCGCTAGAGTGTTCGGGCTTCGATGGGATAAAAGGTGGCAACCCTAGGTGGCGCCTGGCATGCTGGGTCAGCCCCCTGGCTTATGTCTTGAATTGCCAATGACTATGGAAGAGTTAGGCCTCATTCACACTAGAAAAGGCCGGCACGTGCAGCTCCGTTCTGCGTGCACGGCCGTATCAGGCAGCTCCCGGGAAGGACAGGTGCTGAGTGTGATTAGTACGCAGCCCCTGTCCTTCTCTATGGGAGTACGCGGCCGCACGCCACCCTACACTCACCCACCCCGCACGTCCGTGCGTGTGAGCGTACTCGTACACTGACAGGATCGACCTGCACTTGAGGTGAGCATAGGGCAGCGTACGGCCATTTACTCCCATAGAGAAGGACAGGGGCTGCGTACTAATCACACTCAGCACCTGTCCTTCCCGGGAGCTGCCCGATACGGCCGTGCACGCAGCACGGAGCTGTATGTGCCGGCTGTTTCTAGTGTAAATGAGGCCTTAGGGTGGAGCATTTGGTTGCATGAGGTGATATCTACGCGTGCGCCAGGTTCTGGGGACAACCACTTTTATATCCCCTGCTGGTAGCAGGCATGGCTGCATGCTAGATTTGCCCATCATTACCCCAGGGGACACCAGCTGACCTTCAGACATAATAATAGGTGGGGCTGGGTGGGAATGATGTCATTATCACCCAAGACCAGAGTGTTGAAACAGCTGCCTGTGTAATGAAAGTTATGGCTTTCATTAAGGTACTAATAACAGGACTGTCTGCCCTAAAAGAGAGAAACTGCAGCTGTTGAATAAGTATCCCTGCAAGGCGAATTCTCTGTTTAGGACATTACGCACAGTATTATACTCCACCATGAACAAACCTTTGTGTCCTGAAGCCTGTTCCGCATCTCTCGCTGCTCTTCTTTCATATGACTACAGGCCCAGTACGGTTGGGTTCACAGTGCACATTTGTACTACACTATGATATGTGCTGGTGGGAGTTTCTTTTGGTTAAGGATTTCACCCAACTGACTTATATAGCAACACATTGAAAGCATATATAAGGCTTTTATATGATACGCTGTTCAATAAAAGCACTGTGCTGTTTTTTGTTTTTTTATATTCTGAGAAATGCACAAGAATTTAGAAATAACTTTTTTAAAGTTTCCATTTTTTAGTCTGTTAATTGTATCTGACAATTACAGTATTAAACAAATTAACTCTGCCGCTTTTTAGCTTTCAATCTGCTGGTGATCACTATGTCATATGCTGCACGCTGGACCTTTTTACAATGTACTCCCATGTTACACATTGGTTACACCAGCAGGAGGAAGGAGGTCCTGATTCCTCTATATAGATCTTTAGTTAACACTAGAGGGATCCCCAGCATGAGGAAGGAGGTCCTGATTCCTCTATATAGATCTTAGTTATCAGCAGAGGGATCTCCCGTAGGAGGAAAGAGAACCTGATTCCTCTACTGCATATAGATCTTAGTTATCACTAGAGGGATCCCCAGCATGAGGAAGGAGGCCCTGATTTCTCTATATAGATCTTAGTTATCAGCAGAGGGATCGCCAGCAGGAGGAAGGAGGTCCTGATTCCTCCATATAGATCTTTAGTTATCACTAGAGGGATCCCCAGCAGGAGGAAGGAGGTCCTGATTCCTCCTTATAGATCTTTAGTTATCACTAGAGGGATCGCCAGCAGGAGAAAGGAGGTCCTGATTCCTCCATATAGATCTTTAGTTATCACTAGAGGGATCCCCAGCAGGAGGAAGGAGGTCCTGATTCCTCTATATACATCTTTAGTTATCACTAAAATGTGTCCAGTTCTGGAGACCTCACTTACATAAAGATATTGTTAATATAGAACGAGTTTAGAGGCAGGCAGCAAAATGGTGAAAAGTCTGAGGGATAAAACATATCAGGAGGGACTGCAGAAACGTATAATGTCCAGTCCGGAGATAAGAAGGGAAAGGGGGGATATGACTGAAGCATTTAAATACATGAAGGGTGTGAAGAAGGTTCAGGAGGGCAGGATTTTCAGTATAAAGCTGAGATCAAGAACATGGGGACACAACCTCAAACTAGCAGAAGGAAAGTTCAATATTAACCTTAGAAAGTATTATTTCACTGAAAGAGTATTTGATGCTTGGAACAGACTTCCAGCAGAGGTGGTGAGTCAGTCACCAGTAAGTTAATTTTAAACATGTTTAGGGACAAACATAGATCTATACTCTGACAAAAAGTAGAACAAAAGAACAAAAAAGTTGCAGACTGAATGGACCATTTGGTCTTTTCCTGCCGTCACTCTTCTACATTTATATTCCTTTCCGAAATGCGGAGTGGCACATGTGTGACAATACAAGGGATAAGGACCGGCCAGCAGCTCCTTTTCTGAAAGCCAAGCATTGCTGTGACACAATCTGGGCTCATTTTACACACACAAAGAGATTACTTGGATGAGAAATAGACAAAAGGGGAGAGAGATATTCCATTGTTTCCTCTTCTTTGTCTTCATTAGAAGGAGTCCGTTGTTACTTCGCATCTAATAGATGGATTAGGAAGCCAAGCTTCCAACGAAGGACACAAAACATACAAGAAGCTTTCCCCATCTCTAAAGGTCCCTTGAAACCCGGCACGGAAGTATTGTCAAAAAGTTTTAATCAATTAAAAGCAGTTAGAGGCCACGTAAAACTGATATTTAAGGTGGCTGCTGGCAAGTTACATGTCATGCCTCTAATATTTATCAAGGGCTCCAGAGCATAGTTTTCACCACCTAAAGTTCCTTTTTTGCCAGAGCATGCTGACCGCTCCAAAGACAAAAGATGGGCTTTCCAAAATCATAAACAACTAATTGTGATAAAGTCTTTGTTACGACCTTGTGTGGAGGAAACACAAACTAGAGCCAGAAAATCTGACCACTGCAGTCCCTGACATCCAGAAGAAAGTAGTATGTGATTGAGCAATGGTGTTCAATGGTGTTAGCAATGGTGATCCCCCAATAGTGTCCAATGGTGTGAGCAATGGTGTCCACCCAATGGTGTGAGCAATGGTGTCCATCCAATGATGTCCAATGGTGTGAGCAATGGTGATCCCCCAATGGTGTCCAATGATGTGAGCAATGGTGATCCCCCAATGGTGTCCAATGATGTGAGCAATGGTGATCCCCCAATAGTGTCCAATGGTGCGAGCAATGGTGTCCACCCAATGGTGTCCAATGGTGTGAGCAATGGTGTCCACCCAATGGTGTGAGCAATGGTGTCCATCCAATAGTGTGAGCAATGGTGTCCACCCAATGATGTCCAATGGTGTGAGCAATGGTGCCCACCCAATGGTGTCCAATGATGTGAGCAATGGTGATCCCCAATAGTGTCCAATGGTGCGAGCCCAGGTGTGTGAGCAATGGTGTCCAATGGTGTGAGCAATGGTGTCCACCCAATGGTGTGAGCAATGGTGTCCACCCAATGGTGTGAGCAATGGTGTGCACCCAAAACCGAAATATTACTTTTGGTTTCGGGTTGTTGTAATATGCCAGGCCCACTATGTATCTTAGCTATTTCTTTGTTAAACTGGTTTTTAGTTGGCCACGTACCGTTTTTTCCCCCAAAATTTTACAGTTGTCACCAGAACAGGAACAGAAAGGAAACCTTCCAAAGGAGAAACCTGATACGTTGACTGCTGTCTAGAAGGGGATCTCCCTTCGCTTTAAAGAAATTTCCTCTCAATTCCTCTTGTGTCTTCAGGAGAGGAAGTGAAGGGAAATCTCCCCAATGGGACAGAGGCAGCAAAAAAAAAAAAAAAATCTGGACTCAGAAAGGAAACCTTCCAAAGGAGAAACCTGATACGTTGACTGCTGTCTAGAAGGGGATCTCCCTTCGCTTTAAAGAAATTTCCTCTCAATTCCTCTTGTGTCTTCAGGAGAGGAAGTGAAGGGAAATCCCCCCAATGGGACAGAGGCAGCAAAAAAAAAAAAAAAAATCTGGACTTTAGATACGGGTGCATTAGTATTGTAAAGAATGTTTAAAGAAGAACTCCAGAATTATCAAAACCTAACCCCTGCAGTGGGGCTATCCCCGCACTGCAAGGGTTAAAGGCTCATTTTGATCTAGAGGCAGTACAATCTCCTTTAAATGTACAAAATCTATTTAATATGAGGACCTACCTAAGCTATGCAATCAGCTGCTACAATTTGGAACATTTCTAAAACTCCTTTTAGTGCTTTTTAACATGAAAAGTCTGCTGTGTTTTATGTTTTTGCTATATATGTGCTGTGTGAGCTTCCGTGATACATTATTTTCTGGTGTCTGATGTGACCTCATAGAACTTTTTTTTCTTTCCAGATGTCCTCTGTCCAAATGTCAGAATCGAGGGTGACCGTTTTAAACACAATAATGGAGAAAAAGATGAAATTCCAGGTATGTAATGGGCCGGAGCTCGGGGGACCCATGACAGAACCACGCTTGTTTCATAATCCTATATTCCTTATCTTTCCAATGGTAACATGAAACATGAAAGGGATGAAAGGGTTTGTCCGGGAAACACTGATATTCAAAGTTGAATGCTAGCCAAACTTCTTTTTTTTTTTAGCTAAAACATTTTTAGATTTTATAGCCGTCTGTCACAGACAGGGGGCATATCTATAGAGATATGGGCAGGTCTGGTGTTTGCTGGAGTGTACCTGAGGGTGCAGAGGCAACAGAGGGTACCGACGGTGGAGCGTAGCAGACCAGACAGCTACTACACAGGGAGCACAGGGCTGCATTTGGAGACAAGGGGCACACAGGGGTGCACATGGAGACAAGGGACACGCAGTGGTGCACTTGGAAACAAAAGACACACACAGGTGCACTTGGAGATACAGGACACTCAGGGGTATAATTGGAGACGAAGGACACACAGGGGTGCACTGGGAGGCAAGAAACACACGGGTGCACTTGGAGTCAAGTGACACATGGGTGAGCTCGAAGACAAGGGGCATACATAGGGGCACTTGGAGATTTGGGACACACAGGGGTGCACTTGGAGACAGGAGGCAAACAGGGGGGCACTTGGAGACACAGGGCACAGAGGTGGGCACTTGGGGACAAGGGACACACAGGGGTGCACTTGGAGACATGAGCTACACAGAGGTGCACATGGAGACAAAGGACACATAGGCGTGCACTTGGAGACAAAGAGCACACAGGGGCACTCTTGGAGATACAGGTCTCACTTGGAGACTTTGGATACAGAAGTCTAAAACATACCCACCATGTTTGCATATCGTCTGAATAAAAGAGGCATTCAACACATTGGACCCTGGAGTGCGGCTGAGTTTTTTTGGACATACCAGCACCCACTTATCTTATGGGGTCTCGGTCAGGAGTCCTGTGGATTACACATTACTTACAAGGGACACACACGGGTGCACTTGGAGACAAGGGACACACAGGAGTAAACTTGGAGACAAGGGACATATAGGGGTGCACTTGGAGAAAAGGAACACACAGGGGCACACTTGGAGATCTGGGGCTTACTTGGAGACTTATTAGTCGCATAAGTTTTTATTGCCTATGCTCCTCACCTCCATCTAGTGGCCATAAAGGGGTATTACATTCAACCTAAAAAGAAAATATACATAGAACATTCATTTTTGCATCCATTTGCACAGAAATAATAATCTCATAGATTCGCAGGGTGAACAGCTCTGCAATTTGTTTATAAGCAGACACCAAAGAGTACAGGCGGGTTTTTCACTGCGAGAATTAAAAGACCGTGTATGGAAATTGTAGTTTTCCTTTAAGTTTCTTACAAAAACTATAAGATACAGAAAAAACTCCCCAAATGCAAGCTAAATAAATTCTATAAAAGCATAACGTTTTATATATTTTCCTTAATTGGCTTTGTTTGTTAGAATACAGTTTTTCTCTTGACGTATATTTTCAATGACCCATGCACTGATTCAGCTTGCCATAAACACAACAACAATAATCCTTTTCACTCTAAACCACCAAATGTATTTATAAAGTTCTCTTTGTTTTCAAGGCTCTTGCCCAATATTTACATGATTAATGATGGCGCGGATCCTTTGCATAATGCGCTCACTAATGACACATAGATTTGGCCAGTGACTAATACACGGATGCATTTTGCAAAGTGACCTTTTCAGGAGTCGCGGAGGTCGCGAGACCTCATTTATTTCTCAGAAAGATGGGGGCCCTGCGGCGGCCATACGTTGGGATTAGCCGAACAATAAATAATTGTTTGGTTTCCGTCCTGATATAAGCATATTCCATCATTGATGAATAATAATGCGCATTTCTTGAACTTTTGCTGAGATTTAATTTTTTTTAATGTGTAAGTGAATAAAGAATGCAGCAAACAAGACGTGCATATTAAAAGGGAGTTCTAGTACGGTCTCACACACTACCAAAGTACCAGCATTGTCTCATTGTAACATACTGTATGTGGTCCTAGCTAAAAAGCGTCATTAATCATTGATCCATTTGCCATTTTTGTCAGCAGGCTTGATTGCTTACTCACTTAAAGTGGACCTTTCAGCAACCGTACAAGTGACAATATACAACAAGAGTGTCATATTAAAAATAAAAAAAATAAAACGCTCTATCTTTTATCCTAAAGAGGCACCTTGGAGCTCTGGTGCCTACGCTGAGATGATGCCATCAGTCTGCTGCACGCAGGCAAAAGCATTTCCTCAGTCTGCTCTCCCCCAGCAATCAGACTGTATGTTGTGACTTTGTAGCAAATGACAAGGTGAGAGGCTGAAGCAGGGTGGCTGATCAGCCAAGAACTGCACAGGCACCAGGATTTATATGAATGTGTCATCTCTGAGCCGGTGTTCTATCGAAAGTTCCAACTCCTCGAGTTCTCCAACCATCTGACTTCCGGCTTAGTTAGAAGTAAGAGGTTTGGCCGAGAAGGCTGTGCTGCACGCGGGCCACACGTGAGCATAACAGAAATGACATCATGAGGCCCGGATTCCCCACAAGGCCAACGAGGCCCGGCCTCGGGGGCGGCAGGACGCAGAGGGACGGCAGCGCCGTGGAGTCCTCCGACGCCCGGAACTGCTTTAAAAAATTTAAAAGTAAAAGACAAGCTAAAAATGTAAAAAATAAATAAAAATAAAAAAGTGATACAAAAGTAAGAAAAAATAAAGAAACAATAAAAAAAATTAGAACTTACCCTGCCGCCCCTGCCATCCGATTGCTATTCTCGGTTGATTTTTTTTTGGGGGGGCGCATTCCGAAACCTGGCCTTGGGGCGTCAGGGAGAGCAAATCCAGCCCTGGACATCATCAAATCTCACAAGATTAGCAGTCATTGGCAGCAGTGCCGCAGAAGATCTCACACTGCAGAAATACTGCTCTGAAGCTCCAGGCACAGGAAGCACACTGATATTTTCCTGGAGGAGTTCAAGGCAAAATGTACATTTTTCAGAGTACTGCTTAGGCGCCATTAACATTTCCAGATGTTCTCTATAAATAGCAAATCTTTATCATTTTTAGGTCCACTTTAGGATTAATACTGGGTCTGGGAGGCAACTTGTGGTGTCTGCTCTCAATGAGTCTTGTAGGTGGTAAAGTTTTACTTTAGAGGTGTGCTTTCCTACTGCAAACTTTTTCTTACCATCATATACATTTGTATACATCATTTTTGACAGGTTTTGACCTGATGGAACTCTTCAACGTCAAAGAAGTATTTGGAGCAAAAGATGGTGGAGCACAGAGCTCCTATGTACGCCTCGGAACATACCCCATCGTCCAGAAGACCGAGTGAGTAGAAAACAAACCATGTGCTGGTGTCTGTTTCCCTAATTGTTATTCATTTTAGTAATTTTAAGAATAAATGATGTTAAAACCATTCAAAATGATTAGTAGAGCCACAATACAAATCAAGACCCTTTCTGTATAGGTGGCGCTTGATCCAACCCCTTCTGCTCCCACTTTGTCCTATGTGGCAAAACAAAAAGTCAAAATCAAGCCAGAATCTTTTTGGTTTTATCAGAGTGGGGAAGCAGCTGAAATGTTTTCATATTTTTCATTGCTGTGTGTTTCCCCATTTGGAAATGTTACCTTTCTTCCTGTCTCAGTGACACTCGCTCTGGACTATACCTGACCAAAGATGGCATCACCCATTTCCATGTAGCATGTATGTACTTAATGTGAAAAGATATACCTGATGCCAGGTCCACTTTATGTAGCTGGAATCTCAGTGTTGTATTCATGTTACATCTCTGGTGCCCATCCTGTGGTCTGAGGGATGCATGCAGTCCTTTGCCCCTTTTTGTGTGGCCCCTGGGGCCCCTGCAGACAGTGGTCTGTGTTACAGTTTTGGTGCTTTCACAAGCCAGTGAATGCAATATTCTTTAGACTGGCTGGTTTGGTTTCATCCACACTATGTTACTTTTTATGTGCCATTCATCCCTTTTCTCAAAGGGCTCATTCACACAGACGGAGAGGTCCATGTAAAAAAATGGCAGGATCTCCACATCTATGAGCCACAAGGTTTGTGTACAGCCCACCTGCACAAATCAATGACATGTGCGGCTGTAGAATAATAAAGCATGCACATCTGTACAAGTTCGGATGTATGCCCCTGGATGCAGGCTGTCTGTGCCCAGGGATGCACACCCATACCTGTACGCATTTATACGCCTGGACCATCTCCTGTAGTATGCTTGTAGTCTCTGACCATATCTTGTGGCATGTCCACAATCTCTGGAAATGTTCTGTAGCATTACATGCACCAAATATTATGTGCGGACCTTTGGTGGTGTCAGGAGTCGCACTTGAGCAAGATCAAGTATGTTGACCACCATTGCTCTAATACAACACAGGGCACTGATTAGCAGTATTACAATGACCAGAATGAAAATGGCATTCCGTCCCACCCACCAAACTCCCGGCACAAAATTCTGATCATGCTTCATTTATTGTAGTCAGCGGAAGAGACACAGCCTAAAAATGTCAAATGTTAATGTATTCATGAGCAGAGAGCTACAAAGGGCACGGGGGAATACGATAACGTGGTGGGCGGTTTGCAGTTTCTCCGGGAAATCTTTTGCATTTACACAGCACTTCTTGAAAACAAAGAACAAAATACGATCAAGTTTGCAATGTCAACATTTTGGTTCACTTATATGGCTGCGCATATTAACCCCTTAGCGACATAGATTATTTTATGTCCTTGTGTCTGGAATGAGGACTTTTTTTTTTTTTACATGTTGTTTTCTCTTGGACAGCCACAAAATGTTTGGGGTCCTTCTCTCTGCTCCATGACACTAAGGGGCAGGGAGAGATGGATTATAAGCAGAAAGCAGCAGTTATAAAACTGTCAGGTGATCAGTGGTGAATGCCAAGCGAGGAACCTACGCAACAGTGAATCAGAACCTTGTTCCTCACTAGAGGGATCACCAGCAGAATAAAGGAGGTCCTGATTTCCCCACATAGATCTTTAGTTAACACTAGAGTGATCCCCAGCAGGAGGAAGGAGGTCCTGATTCCTCTATATAGATCTTAGTTATCACTAGGGGGGTCCCCAGCAAGAGGAAGAAGGTCCTGATTCCTCTATATAGATCTTCATTTATCACTAGGTGGGTCCCCAGCAGGAGGAAGGAGGTCCTGATTCCTCTATATAGATCTTAGTTATCAGCAGAGGGATTCTCCCGTAGGAGGAAAGAGGTCCTGATTCCTCTATATAGACCTTTAGTTATCACTAGAGGGATCTCCAGTAGGAAGAAGGAGGTCCTGATTCCTCTATATAGATCTGTATCACTAGAGGGGTCCCCAGCAGGAGGAAGGAGGCCCTGATTCCTCTATATAGATCTTAGTTATCAGCAGAGGGATTCTCCCGTAGGAGGAAAGAGGTCCTGATTCCTCTATATAGATCTGTATCACTAGAGGGGTCCCCAGCAGGAGGAAGGAGGCCCTGATTCCTCTATATAGATCTTAGTTATCAGCAGAGGGATTCTCCCGTAGGAGGAAAGAGGTCCTGATTCCTCTATATAGATCTGTATCACTAGAGGGGTCCCCAGCAGGAGGAAAGAGGTCCTGATTCCTCTATCTATATAGATCTTTATCACTCGTGGTGTCCCCAGCAGGAGGAAGGAGGTCCTGATTCCTCCATATAGATCTTTATTATCACTAGAGGGGTCCCCAGCAGGAGGAAAGAGGTCCTGATTCCTCTATATAGATCTTTATCACTAGAGGGGGCCCCAGCAGGAGGAAAGAGGTCCTGATTCCTCTATATAGATCTTTATCACTAGAGGGGGCCCCAGCAGGAGGAAAGAGGTCCTGATTCCTCTATATAGATCTTTATCACTAGAGGGGGCCCCAGCAGGAGGAAAGAGGTCCTGATTCCTCTATATAGATCTTTATCACTAGAGGGGGCCCCAGCAGGAGGAAAGAGGTCCTGATTCCTCTATATAGATCTTTATCACTAGAGGGGGCCCCAGCAGGAGGAAAGAGGTCCTGATTCCTCTATATAGATCTTTATCACTAGAGGGGGCCCCAGCAGGAGGAAAGAGGTCCTGATTCCTCTATATAGATCTTTATCACTAGAGGGGGCCCCAGCAGGAGGAAAGAGGTCCTGATTCCTCTATATAGATCTTTATCACTAGAGGGGGCCCCAGCAGGAGGAAAGAGGTCCTGATTCCTCTATATAGATCTTTATCACTAGAGGGGGCCCCAGCAGGAGGAAAGAGGTCCTGATTCCTCTATATAGATCTTTATCACTAGAGGGGGCCCCAGCAGGAGGAAAGAGGTCCTGATTCCTCTATATAGATCTTTATCACTAGAGGGGGCCCCAGCAGGAGGAAAGAGGTCCTGATTCCTCTATATAGATCTTTATCACTAGAGGGGGCCCCAGCAGGAGGAAAGAGGTCCTGATTCCTCTATATAGATCTTTATCACTAGAGGGGGCCCCAGCAGGAGGAAAGAGGTCCTGATTCCTCTATATAGATCTTTATCACTAGAGGGGGCCCCAGCAGGAGGAAAGAGGTCCTGATTCCTCTATATAGATCTTTATCACTCGTGGGGTCACCAGCAGGAGGAAGGAGGTCCTGATTCCTCTATATAATTCTATAATTAGACTTCTTTTAGAATACTGTATCCAGTTCTGAAAACCTCACTTACTGAAAGGTATTGATAAGATAAAATACAGGCAGCACAAAAAGTGAGCCGTCTGGGGAATAAAACCTCAGGAGAGGCTGCATGAACTCAATATGTATAGTCATGGACTCATGGGGAAAGAAGGGAAAGCATGAATGTCAAAACAAAACTTAGTTTTGGATAACTGTCACAGTGGTGACTCTAGAAAACATGTGCTAATTGGTAACCTACTCCAGTCTCCGGTTTAGACTGCCCTTTCCAGCAAAGCAACCCCTATACTGGTAATAACTCCTGACCTGTATACAGTAGATTATGTAACCACTGTCATCTGTGTAGGCAAGAAATCTCATGAGAATTTGGTGCTTACAGCCCTGCAGTCTTCTAGGATGTGTGATATTCCAGGAGGTTGTGGATTGGCAAGGACTCTTGCCTGGGTTAGATATAAGAAAGCAAGGTGGAGCTGAAAATTAAAGGGGTCTTTCAAAGACAAGGGAAAAAAATGAATACACGATTATTTAGGAGGAAGGTGGGAGTAATGAAAATAAACAAAGTTCAAAGTATGGTGAATGGTCCACTTTGAACCTAAATTGCACACCAGTTTAGTAACAGTTGTGTTTCTGCTCCTTTTCCAGAGACATCTTCCCGCAGGGTCTGCCGGATGAATATGCTTTTGTAACAACCTTCAGGTTTAGAAAGGCCTCCAGGCGGGAGGACTGGTACGTCTGGCAAATCATTGACAAATACGGAATACCGCAGGTAATGTCCAATACAAATTTGCAAAGCCACAGATCTCTTCCAGAAGCTAGGTTACTCTTAACAGAGCATTAATAATGTCTTTGAAAAGCCCACTAACCCATAACAGCTAATCAGAAATATTTATATAAAAAGTAGGGTTGCACCGATACCGATACTAGTATCGGTATACTCGTACTCACCCAAATGCTCCAATACTTACCTCCGATATCAGAACTTCCAGTCAGAAGGCGATTTCCCTCTGACCGGCAGTGCTGAGGGAGCATGGAGCCGGCCTCCTAGCCAATCAGGAAGGCGGGAGGCAGGTCATGATGTGCTGCCCAGCTTCCTGATTGGCTAGGAAGCCTGCTTCACTTGTTACTAGGCAGCTTGGCTTCCTGACCAATCAGGAAACCGGGCAGCACCTCATGACCCACCGTCCGGCTTCCTTATTGGTCAGGAAGCCAGGCAGCCTTGGGAAGTGAAGCCAGTATTCTTTCGACAGAACAACGCTTCCCAGGCTATCGGGAAGCTGGGCAGCGGGTCATGATCAGCCACCGGGCTTCTTGATAATCGGGGCACACAGAACCGATATCGGTGAGCACAAAAAAAAAATATCGGTGGTCGTACTCGATACCGAAAAACCGTCATCGGTGCATCCCTAATAAAAACCTTGGGCAACATCCGGAAAACTGTCTCTAGAGAAGCCCTGCATGGTAGGATTCCAGTAGGTATGTCAGACTCCAAATGGGAACTTAAAGCATATGTGTAGCCAAAATATTTTAGGTTCGTTTTGGATAGAGTAGGGAAAGATTAGCACCCCGTGTATGGTTTTTATTATTGTCTCTGTATTGGATCTAATTAAGCTGTGTACTCCGGAGACCATTATCATCGAGAAAATCAGAAAATCATGGGGGATCAAAACTTTTACATCTGTCTACAGAACATGAGGTGATGGGAAATCTTCCAATTTTTGGGAACTTTAAAGATTTCTCCTCACATCCCGTGACGTCTCTGGGACAGGAAGGGAAGATAAATCTCCATATTGGGGCATAGCTGACAAAAATAAACTGATAGGGGAATCGACATTTCCCTACTCTATCCAAAACAACAACAAAATGTTTTGCCTATACATACACTTTAAAGATAACCATTCACAATTTATGACTTAAAGCTCAAGAAGAACCCCCAGGATTTATTCAAACTAACCCTTGCAGTGGGACTACCACTGCACTGCAAGAGTTAAGTGCTTGTTTTGGTTTAGGGATGAAAATAAAGAAGACATATTCACCAGATCTTTGGTCCCTCTTGGCTGCTAGACCGGTTGCTGCAGGCTCTTCTTCCCTGGGCTTCGGCAGTCTAATGATCAGTAATTAAGGGAGAGAGGTCAGCGGTCACTGCTTCCGGGGCAAGGATCAGGTGACTGTACCTGCTTTATTTTCACTACTAGACCAAAACGAGCACTTAACCCTTGCAGTGCGAGAGGAGGAATGGGGGGGGGGGGGGGGGTGTG